TCTTTCTATTATATATCATGTCTGTCTGTCTGTCTGTCTGTCTGTCTCTGTCTCTGTCTCTCTCTCTCTCTCTCTCTCTATCTATCTATCTATCTATCTATCTATCTATCTACTGTATGTATGTATGTATATACTGTATGTATGTATGTATATATGTATGTCTCTGTCTCTCTACACACACACACCAATATATCTATATCTGCCTGCTTGCCTGCCTGCCTGTCTCTCTCTCTATTATATATCACATCTATATCTATCTGTCTCTCTCTCTGTCTCTCTCTCTCTCTCTGCCTGCCAGCTTGCCTGCCTGCCTGTCTACCTCTCTCTCTCTCTATTACCTCTCCCTCCCCACCTCTGTATGGTGCAGGTATATATTTATGTATGTATATAGCATGTGTACATGTATATCATGTATGTGTTTGTGTAAATATATACTGTATTGAAAGAATTTCATTTTTAATGGGGGCCAGTGTGCTCGCAGAAAAAAAATGACAATAAAAGTTATCTTATCTTATTTATCTTATCTTATTGTTGTTATTATTGTTATTAATTTGCCTTGATCTGTAGTGGGAGAGAGTGGTGTATATAAGCTTCAAAGGCTGAATCAGATTCTGGGGTTTGGTCCAAATTTTACCCGAGACACACAGCGATGAAAACATTTTTTTTTCTCCTGTTGATCCAAACATTATCCAGCGTGTGCTTTACTAAAGGGCAAACACTTTTCCTCCAGAAAACACAATAAAAATTACTGTAAGCTTTAACTTTTCGAGTTTTGCATGCAGTCCCTTCTCAAAAAACATTCTAAAAAAAAATTAAACCAGTCGGTTGGCCTTAACATTTTGTTCTCTTTAAAATTCACTTTTATTGAGGTTTACTACAATGTAAAATACAATGAAAATATAAATTTTTAAAAGGTGGGAGGAGACGTGCAGGAAAAACAACAACAAGCAAGATCAAAAAGCATCATCTTCCTAATCTTTCTATCAAAGTAAAATGCGAATTACATTTAAAGCCTCAACTTTTAGCACTGAGTTATTACAAGCCATTTCCGTAGTAACACAAACATTTAATCTTCAAACTAAATTTAATTCCCCCCCCCCCCACTTATTTCGAGCCTGAAAACCAGAAGCAGTTTTTCCAATGGAAACAGGACCCGATTAATTCTCCACCCTTGAGCTGCAAATATTCTCCTTTAATTGAAATATTCTCCTTTGTTTAAAACAGTTTACATTTCCAAACTCAACCACATCTGTTTTTTTCACCTATCCAATTTTTCTCCCCCTGACTTTCCTATTTGTGAAATGAATCTGTGGGGAATTTCAACATGTCTGTGAAAAATGGCAGCTTAAAAGAAGTTTTTTGTTTTTTTTTAAAGGGAATTCTGTACACATCAAACCGTAAAAAAGAAATACAGGTAATAAACAAACTTACATTAGTTCGTTTAGTGACTGTTTGGAGTTACAACGGCACTGAAAAAAGGATCGTTTTTCACACTTATGACGTTTACAGCATCCCCGTGGTCACGTAATCAAAATTCAGATGCTTGGCTACTGACTCACACTTATGACGGTTGCAATGTATCTGGGTCATTTAACAACCATATGGCTAACTGAACAACTGCAGTGATTCTGTCATGCCTCTGTTAGAATCTGACTCTGAGGGCGAGGAGGAACAGCCGACAGGGAGTGGGAGTGTGGCCTGGGAGGTTGTGGAGGAAACTGGGGAAGGGCACAGGCCAGCTGGGCAGTCAGAGGAGGACCCAGGCCCATCTCTTCATCCTAGGGCACGCAGGGAGGAGCGGATAAGGGAAAAACGTGAATGGCATGGTCTCCAGGGGAGGAAAGGGCCCTGATCCCCTTCATGGGCTGCAGCTGTGAGGACTGTTTAAAAGGACAAACTGCACATGGCCCACTGCTGGAAGCAAAGCGTGAAATAATTTTAGTCCCTCAGTTCTTATCTGAGTTCTAGCGTCCTTCTCAGTGTGTGTATTTCGATATCTGTGGATGTCTTCAAGCCCTTATCCTGGCTTGTTTCACTAATTGCTTCAGTGTGGTTTGTGTTGTTTTTTCTATTTATAATTTATTTGTGTTTTGAGTTTGAACAGCATTTGTTCCTTTTCACAACTGTTTGTGGGGGAGTTTTTTCTCCAGTCAATGATAATTGGACCTTTGAAGCCAAGTTGAAGGAATGTTTTTGTGACTTCGTTGCTTTTGTATCTCACCCTGGGTCATCACTTGAGGTAAGAAAGGTCGTAAAATGGGGCAAAGCCCACTTAACTGGCTTAGCAAGGGAAGTGGTCACAAGTCAACAGCTATCTGTATAATTATCAGATTTTTTTCACAACCCCATAATCCCTTGCAGAGTGGAGTCTGGGCAACTGAATGGAGTTAGCAGTGTTTACTGGCCGGATGCCCTTCCTGTTGCCGATGCAGAGTTTTGTTCCAGCAGATGTGCCCAGAGAGAGAGAAATATCTGCCTCTACCTTGGATCGAACTCACAGCCTCCTGATTGTGAGGTGAGAGCTCCACCTCTAGGCCACCCCACCACTTCGAGGGCTACTTATACATGAGAGGAAATCGAAATACCTTTCTCATCTGGGTTAACAATCCTTCGAATTCTTTCAGATTCAGTGGCGGTCCATTAAAGTGAGTGCTGTTGTTTGCAGTTTTCCCCAGCCAATAGATGGTGACTAAAACCTGAAGAATTGAACGGACGTTAATTGGAACAAATCAAAACCACCAGGTCAATTCCATGCTACAACAAATTCTTTCGCACCTTCCAGAGGAAATTAAATACGTACCCTGGTTTCCCCCCCGCCTTTAAAAACAGTCTATTTTCCCCAAAAGCAAGATACAAGTTTTCTCTCACAGCACAAGCGAAAGTGAGCATTGAACTGAATGTCTGTCATGCCCTTGTTGGAGTCTGATTCTGAGGGGGAGATTGAGCAGCTGACAGGGAGTGGGAGTGTGGATCCGGTGGCTGTGGAAGAAACGGGAGAGGAGCACAGTCTGGCTGGGCATTCAGAGGAAGACCCAGAGCCATCCCCTCTTCATCCTAGGGCACGCAGGGAGGAACAGAGAAGGGAGCAACATGGCTTAGGGAAGAGAAAAAGGCCCTGATCCCTTTCATTAGTTGCAGCTGGGAGAACAGGATATAAGAGGGGCGTTTGCACACCGCTCCTTGCTGAAAGCAAAGCGTGCATTATCTTTGTTGAGGCTTATCTGGGTTTTGGCATCCTCCCAACTGTGGGTGCTGCATTATGTTTTGAAAGTCTGCAATTTATTATCCTGGCCTGCCGTGTTAATTACTTCAGTGTGGTTTGTGTTGTTGTTGTTTTTTTCATTTCTAATTATCTTTACTTTGGTTTCAGGCTGCAATTCTGCCCTTCGTAGATTGTTTTTGGACGAGTTTGATCTCCAGCTGAGGATAATTGGACACTGGGGCCAACTTGGAGGCATTAAAGGGAATTTATTCTACTTTTGTGACTTTGTTATTTTTGTGTCACGCCCCGGGTCATCACAACGTCTGTCCCAATTCGATGTAATAGCCATGTTGTCGAGTGTTGAGGGAACAACGTCTATATCAGCCTTGGAAGACTTTTTTTTTTTTACTTGGAAGCTTCGAGGCTGCCACATTCAGGGCCTGGGAATTTGGGAGGAGGGGTTTCATGGTGGGGATTAGAAGATTAGATACAACAACATTCCTTTCTCAGAGAGTCAAGGACACGTTGCCCTGCACCTGGAGGGGAGTGACTGGGGGGGGAATGCCTCCAGTTGGGAAGATTTGATTGGGCCATGTTGGGGGCAAAGTTGGAGCTAATAAAGGGACTCTTATTGATTATCTGACTGTGTGGCCTTTGTGCCACGCCCTAAGTCATCACACTGGGATTTCCTGAAAATCCCATGTAGAGCTTGGAAGCTTTGAAAACGGCAATCAGATAAGCAACAGGAAATTTTTCACTCACAGGACTAAATTTCCCCAAGGGGAGGCAGGAGGCACACACCCATTTATAATGGTGAGAACTGAAATGGTTCTCACTTTTCTAACTTTTAGGAAGTCCAGCTTTTCTTTATTATCATTTCCGCTAAAAGGAGGAGTTGCAGATATGGTAGTTGTGTTTTTGTTTTGTTTTTTTCCCTTGCTTCCATTCAAGAAGCTTGTCAGATCTTTCGTTTCCTAAGGGCGAATGGAAAAAAACAAACCATAAATGAGGAGTTGAAATATTAAAATGGAAGATGTTTTAATGGTTATCCAAACTGCCAACAGAGAGGAAACTCTTACTAGCCAAGGTGTTGGTGCAGAGACAACATTTAGTTCTTTATTTCTTTGCATCCTTCCTACATTATTTTTTCAAATAAGGGAGCAAGCACACGCCGTTCTCCTCCTCCTCCTCCTCCTCCTCCTCCTCCTCCTCCTCTTCCAACACCACTCCCTTCTAGCCTTGATGATGTTACCCGGTCTGGTAATGAAACATTTCTAAAAGAAAACCTCCAAGTTCAAAGAGCAACAAGGACCCCACAGTCCTCCTCCTGCTCCTCCTCCTTGCAAACCTAATTCTGTTACCTTGTTGGGTGATGAAAGTTCTCCAAGAAAACCACCAAGCTCAGAGAGCCCCAGGGACTACATAGTCCTTTTCCTCCCCCTCCCCCTCCACCCCCTCCTCCTCCTCCACCCCCTTCTAGCACTGATGATGTTCCCTAGTCTGGTCATGAAATGTCTTCAAGAAAACCACCCAGCTCAGAAAGCACAAAGAACCCCTACAATCTTGCGTATGGCGCAACTAGGGTTCTTTCAGTCAAACAAGTAAGTTTCACCTGACTCCAAAACCAACGAAGAGATTTCAAAAACCGAAAAGAGTTTAAGGAAAGGTCAAAGATCACCCCTAAGAACTTTGCTGCTTGTTGCATTGACGCGGATGTTCTGACTTCTACATCTTTGGTGCCCTAATCCAGATTTTATTTATAGAGAAGAAAGAAGTCTTCCCCCCCCAAAAAAAATTGAACGTCACTGATGGATCCATGTAGCGTTGTTCCTATCTGGAGCTACCTCCCATGGAGTTTGAGAAGATTCCGTTTTTGCAGCCGATGGGGAAAAAAAATCCCGATTTTTGCCTTCATACCAAGCATGAAGGCTCCTTTCCTTCAGCTGCCGGCAGCTCCCTTTCATTCACTCTTGAATGTCACGGAAAGGCCAAAGGTTTCCATTCACAAGTTAACAACAGAACTGATGATAATCAAGAGAGGTGGGCCAAAATGTCAGATCCTCCCTCTTCCTACGGAGAACCTGACCTTAAATATTCACATTCCAAGGTTGTTGACTTTTTTGGGGAAACAAGAAAATTATATACTGCAGGGAATTTGTGTCCTTTTGGCCCCTTTTTCTTGGCATTCACCCCCCCCCCCAATTAATTCAGAGGGGTTGCTTTCTAAGCCAGGAAAAGGGGGTCATTCAGGGCAATCTCTTAATCTCTTTCTTTTTAATTGCAGCCAAAGAGCTTAGCGTGATTCGAGAATAACACTTAGCAAGAGGCTGCTGTTTTCTAACAGGTAGCAGTGCAATTTTAAGAATCCCATTTAAAAACCCGCACAGATGGCATCTCGATATTGGATTGGGCTCTGGAAAGGAATTTCTAGATTTTCTTTTCTTTTCTTTAATTTTAAAAAGCCTTTATTAGTCAAATTCTACAATTAAAAACATGTTTCCATTCATTTCAGCGTGTTTGTAGTGGTGTTCACTCACATTGACATATTCTTTAGTATGTAGAATATTACTAAATATTATTGCAATTATTTTACATTCGATTTATAGCATATTTTCATATATTTATGTAGTTGTTTACATAATTATACATAATTATACTTAGTCATACAATATTGTTTCCTCTCACCATAACCTTTCATTCATTCCTCTATTTTGTGTCTACCTTGTAGCCAGTTATACTATAAATTCCAAATTTCGTAGTACTCTGTCTCTTCTCTCTCCTTCATTTCCATTGAAAGCTTATCCATTTCTGTACACTCTAAAACCTTTTTTTATTATCGTAATGTCGGAGGGAATACTGTCACATTTCCAATTCTGGGCAAAGGCTCTTCTTGCTAATCCATTTCTTACTAATTTTATCTCTTAATGTACCCAGTAGGAATGCTGCTGGTCTCAATTCAATTTTCTGTTTTGTAATTTCCTCCAACCAATTCCTAATTTTGAGCCAATCATTTTAATTTCTAGATTTTTCAATGGCTGGGAGTTCGAAGTTTGGATTGGAATTTCTAGATTTGTAGTTATTGCTTTGAAAGAATTGAGTAAGTCTGGTTTAATGAAAAGTAAGGCCAGGGGTGACATGATAGCAGTGCTCCAATATTTGAAGGGCTGCCCCAAAGAAGAGGGAGTCAAGCTATTCTCCAAAGCATCACAAGGCAGGAGAAGAAGCAATGGATGGAATCTAATCAAGGAGAAAAGCAACCTAAAACTAAGGAGAAATTTCCTGACAGTGAGAACAATTAACCAGTGGAATGACTTGCCTCCAGAAATTGTGTTTGCTGGAGGCTTTTAAGAAGAGACTGGACAGCCATTTATCTGAAATGGTATAGGGTTTCCTGTCTAAACAGAAGTCTGTGTCTGTCTAAACAAGACAGACGCAGACTTCAGAGGATAATCAGAACTGCAGAAAAAAACAATTACTACCAACCTGCCGTCCATTGAGGACCTGTATACTGCCCGAATAAAAAAAAAGGGCTGTGAAAATATCTACAGACATCTAACATCCTGGACATAAATTGCTTCAACTTCTACCCTCAAAACAACATTATAGGACACTGCACACCACAACAACTAGACACAAGGACAATTTTTCCCTGAATGCCATCACTCTGCTAAACAACTAATTCCCACAACACTGTCAACTTATTTACGAAGACTGTATTGCTATTATTCCTCTACGACTAGATTATAATAACACTTCCTAGTACCTATCTCTTCCCACTTATGACTATAACCGTGTTGCTTGTATCTTTACAATTTACAGTGTTTTATTTGTTCCCTAGCATGATTTGATTGCTTATTAGTAACCTATGACTATCACTAAGTGTTGTATCTCATGATTCTTGATGAATGTATTTTATTTTTTCTTTATGTACACGGAGAGCTTATGCACCAAAGACAAATTCCTTGTGTGTCCAATCACACTTGGCCAATAAAGGATTCTATTCTATTCTATTCTATTCTATTCTATTCTATTCTATTCTATTCTATTCTATTCCATCTCAAATGGTATAGGATTTCCTGCTGGGCAGGGGGTTGGACTAGAAGACAGATAACAGATAATCAGAGTTGGAAGGGATCTTATAGGTCATCTAGTCCAACTCCTGCCCAAGCAGTAGACCCTACACCATTTCTGAAAACTTTCTACATGTCAATTGCCAAAGAGATAAAGTAATTTTTCTGTTCTCCTTTTTAAGCCACCTCTTTTCAGAATACTCTGGAATATTTCCTAATTTCTTTTCTTTCTTTTTTAAAAATTCAGGTTTCTCCAAGAAAGCACTGCTGTGATAACTCTGTTGGGGTTTCAAATGAAAGCTTTGTAAAAACAGTTCTAGAGTTTGGTCAGTTCGTTTCAGCAACTTCCTAACGGAGGGCCTCTGCAGAGCATTCTCAGTAAATCTTGCAAAATGAAACATTATTTATTCGGAAAGTTTTTGCTGGCTTGGGGGGAAGAGCAATTACTTTCCTGATGACAAGCCAGACTCGATAAAATAATAGTGCTTTTTTTTTTAACCCGTAGTTACAATTATGGGCTTCAAAGCTGTATTGAAAAGCTCTTGGTTATTTCCTTAACACGACTTGAGGATGTTCAGGAAAATATAACGGGAATAGTTTGGAGTGTACCACAGACACTCATTCCAGAAGTTGTGTCTGGCTTTTGGATAAGTTTATCTAACTCTATGACCAAGTGCATTTTAAAACTTTCCTTCCTTACTGTGCAGTCTCTGATATTGCAAACGGCCGCTCCTGGTTTCAATCAGGATGACGGAAGGAAAAAGAACTGCTTTGAAATTAAAATCCCCTTTGGAGGGAAGACAGGAAAGTTCACAGGCAATAAAGCATTTGTACATTCCTGCAAACTGGGTCGTTCATCCGCTTAAGAGATAACAGCGACTTTGGCTACTTCAAATGACTAGAATATAATAGAAAGAGAAAGAGGGAGAGAATGGCATGGCATGACATAGCATAGAAATTAGGAATAGAAATAGAATGGCATAGCATAGCATAGAATAGAAATTAGCAATAGAAATAGAGATAAGAATTATAATTAGAAATAGAATGGCATGGCATGACATGGCATAGCATACCAGAGCACAGAAATTAGAAATAGAAATTAGGAATAGAATGGCATAGCATAGCATAGAATAGAAATTAGAATTAGAAATAGAATGGCATAGCATAGCATAGAAATTAGGAATAGAAATTAGGAATAGAAATTAGGAATAGAAATTAGGAATAGAAATTAGGAATAGAAATAGAATGGCATAGCATAGCATAGAATATAATAGAAATTAGAATTAGAAATTAGAACTGGAATTGGAATTAGAATTAGAAATAGAATGGCATGGCATAGCATAAAATAGAATAGAAATTAGAAATAGAAATTAGAATTGGAATTAGAATTAGAAATAGAATGGCATGGCATAGCACAAAATAGAATAGAAATTAGAAATAGAATGGCATAGCATAGCATAGCATAGCAGAGTTGGAAGGGACCTTGGAGGTCTTCTAGTTCAACCCCCTGCTTAGACAAGAAACCTTATACCATTTCAGACAAATGGCTGTCCAGTCTCTTCTTAAAAACTTCCAGTGATGGAGCATTTATAACTTCTGGAGGCAAGCCGTTCCACTGATTAATTGTTCTCACTGTCAAGAAATTTCTCCTTAGTTCTAGGTTGCTTCTCTCCTTGATGAGTTTCCACCCAGGGCTTCTTGTCCTGTCTTCAGGTGCTTTGGAGCAGGGGTCGCCAACCTTATGGACCTCAGGGCCCACCAAACTCATAATTTTAGATCCCAGGGACCACTAACTGGTTCTGTGGGTATGGCCTAATTTGTGGGTGTGGCTTGGTGGTCATGTGACTGGCTGGGCATGGCTTGTATGTAAATGTTATAAATATTTATATAAATATTGAATTTTTTTATAAAAAAGAGCAACTTTTACCCAAAATCAGGCAAAGCAGGCATTCAGTGATCTATCTATCTGCCATCAGCTAGCTCAGTCTCTCAAATTTGCTTGCCATGAGTCTGCACTGAATTTGCTTGCAAGCAAACCTTCAGTGTCCTAAGGGAGGTTCAGCTGTACCAAAGATCTAAAGACTAGCTAGAAAGCAAGAAATCCAACCATTTCCTGCTTCCTAACTAATCTGCACAGCAGAACAGATGACGGTCGGAAAAAGGAAAAATAGCAATTTAGCAGGCAAGTTTACCGGGTAAGGAGTGAGTGGTAAGGAGTTGTGTTTCTGCACAGCCTGGATTAATTGCTTTGGGAGAGGGGGTGCTCTGGGGGTGAGATTTCTCTGCGGCCCACCAAAATTTTCTCACAGCCCACTGGTGATCCACCAGTTAGAGACCGCTGCTTTGTAGAATAGCTTGACTCCCTCTTCTTTGGAGCAGTCCCTGAGATATTGGAACACTGCTATCATGTCACCCCTTAGTCCTTCTTTTCATTAAACTAGACATACCCAATTCTTGCAACCGTTCTTTATATGTAGACACCGGTTTGGTCATCTAAACATGTTCTTCCTAAAGTTTTATTGTGTTACTGTTATTATTGTTGTTATTCAAAAGACTCATTGTGTTCCTGGACTCTGCTGTGCTCACAGAGGCTTCGCTATTAACTCATCAAAACCTGAGCAAAGTTAGCTTTACATTCGGGGTGTCCAACCTTGGCAACTTTTAAGACCTGTGGATTTCATCTCCCAGAATTCCCCAGGTGGCAAGGAATTCTGGGGGTTGAAGTCCACAAGTCTTAAAAGTTGTGGTTAGGACCTCAACTCCCAGAATCCCCCAATTCTTTCACACTGTGGTTGCCCAGGTTGGATGGATACCCCCTGTGCATGGATCGCCAAAAGTCAAAAGTCCCAGACAATTTTTTTTAAAAAAAATCTTTTTTTAGCCCCAGTAATATATTGGAGTTTCAACCTTCATTTGCTACACACACACACACACACACAACACACAGAAAAACCAATGTAGGACAAACACCTGGACCCTATGCAGCAAGAAGAAAGGTTACACGTTCGAGTACTTACGTTTTTCAGCTTTCTGCTACCATCAAGATTCCTGCAAAAGAAAGGAGGAAAAAAAAAAACATTTCAAAAAAAGCAGAAATTCCTTCCACAGTTTGTATAATGCGACAGGTCACATGTTTCCTCCTAAGCAAGGAGTCAGCAGGATGTGTCTGCGGGTTGGGAAACACACAATGGAAAGCGACTGAAGCCATTTATTGATTTGATACAGTGCGGAAGTATGTTCTCATGCGCTGCTCGGAGCCCCCACGCCGCTAATATTTGAGTTACCGACGAATTAAATATTTTTCCTCCATGCAAAATCAAAGGGAGGCAAGGCGGGTAAAAGAGAGAATAAATATGATGGGGGTCCTTGGGGGCTCTCTGAGCTGGGTTGTTTTCTTGCAGACATTTCACTACCCAACTAGGCAACATCAGTGTTAAAAGGGAGTGAGGTTTGCTCTCTAGCACTGATGATGTTACCTAGTTGGGTAATAAAAGGTCTGCAAGAAAACCACCAAGCTCAGAGAGCACCAAGGACTCCACAGTCAATGTCCTCCTCCTTCTCCCCCGCCATCCTCCTCCTCCTCTACAAATCCCACTCCTTTCGAACACTGATTATGTTACCAAGTTGAGTAATAAAATGTCTGCAAGAAAACAAAGCTCTGAGATCATCAAGGACTACACCACCACCACCACCACCACCACTACTCCTCCTCCACAAATCCCACTCCCAAACCGCCAAGCTCAGAGAGCATTAAGGACCCCAGTCTTCCTCCTCCTCTCCACAAATCCCGCTCCCTTCTAACACTGATGATGTTACCTAGTTGGGTAATAAAAGGTCTGCAAGAAAACCCCCACCAAGCTCAGAGAGCACCAAGGACACACACACACACCCTCCTTTCAACCCTGAGCTACACACGTTCTCCTTTCTCAGAGAATAAATTCTTCTAACTGGAATAGCTAGCTAGAGTTGGAGAACCATTTATGTCCCTCAGCCATCATGTCCCAGCTTCTGACAACCTAGCAGTTCAAAAGCACGTAAAAAAAAATGCAAGTGGAAAAATAGGGACCCCTTTGGTGGGAAGGGAACAGCGTTCCGTGAGCCTTCGGCATTTAAGACAGAGACGTCTTCGGACAGCACTGGCTATTTGGCTTTGTAACAGGGATGAGCACTGCCCCCTAGAGCCGGAAACAACTAGCATGGGTGTTGTTGTGGTTCGCCGGCAGCTGGTGCAGAAGGCAGCGGAGTTGGACAGTGGGGAAGAACAGGGACCATCAGGGAGTCTGGAGAGGACTTGGACGAGGGTCCTGCATCCGATGCAGAGATGGGGCCAGGACCATCTGGGAGTAGTGTGCTGACTCTGGAGCCTCTGGAGTCTGGCAGCAGCGAGGCAGAGGAATGAGGGTGCCTGTTCCCAGTGCATGCTTGCATAGAGCTGCCAGAAGGCAAGAACAGCTGAGACAAAAGGGGCGATTTGGGAATAAGGCTGGGAGGGGATTGCCCCTCCCATAAGGTTTAAAGGACAGGCAAAGGTGAAGAAACCTTTGCAGGAAGCAAAGTCGCTTGTTCGGTTCAGATTCATTCTTGAAGCTCTTTGTACTTCAGTTGGTTTCTTTTCTAGTTCATTTGATACTTCTGTTTCTGGCAGCACTTCAAAGGTGGGTGCTTATCTCAGGGAACTATCTGAGATTAATTCCCAGCTGGGAATGAAAACAATTCCCAGCGTTGCAATAAAATAACTCGTTTTTAAAATAAGTGTGTGCGTAATGACCGTTTAGGAAGCCTGGGTCAGAACACCTTTACCTTTAGCTCTTAAATGCACAGACAAAAAGTTTGGAACATTGTGAAGCTTAGCGCACAACTGAATCTAGAATCAAGAATTTTGTTTGTGTCTGTGTGTGTGTGTGTGTGTGTGTGTTTGTGTCTTTTTGAGCCAAAAGTCAGGAATCTCAGCCCTGAGCAGGAGTCTACTATTCTTTGACAGCTCATCATCCAGGAAACAGCTGGCATAAGGTTTTGTGGGAAACCACAGCTCGCCAAGGAAGGATCTGGGATTAGGAAGGATGTCAGAGTATCTTCTCCTCGCAGCCCATTTGCTTTGATTTTCAGCTTACACTTGACTCATCGAGAGCCTGTGAGCTAACTTTAGATAAATAAAGACCGTGACCTTCTGGATAGCATGTCTATTGAGTGAAATCCAGAGGTTGCCACGATGGGCGGGGTCACCCTTCCAAATGCTGTGTGAGCAGGACCAGTTGCTGGGGCGATATCACAACAAAGGAAGCATTAAGGCTCTCGGCCACTTTGGATGTTTCATTGCATCCAAACTTGGAATGCAGAAAAAGAAGAACCTTCAAGTCAACAGCCCTTTTTCCTTCTTCTTTCGTTCTTCTACATCAGGGGTGTCCAACTCATGGCTTGGCTGGAGAACTCTGGGAGATGGAAGTCCAAAATATCTTCGAAGTGCCAAGGTCGAGAAACACTGAAGTAGATCCATTGCCTCCAGGAGTTGTGAATGCTCCAACACTGGAAGTTTTAAAGAAGAGATCTGTCTGAAATGGGGTAGGGTTTCCTGCCTGAGCAGGGGAGGTGGACTAGAAAACCTCCAAGATCCCTTCCAACTCTGTTATTCCATTTTATTTTATTTTATTTTATTATTTATTTAATTTTATTATTTATTTAATTTTTTTTATTTAATTTTTTATTTATTTTATTTTATTTATTTTATTTTATTTTATTTATTTTATTTATTTTATTTATTTAATTTATTTAATTTTATTTATTTATTTTATTTATTTTATTTATTTATTTTATTTATTTTATTTTATTTATTTTATTTTATTTATTTTATTTTATTTATTTATTTAATTATTATTTCATTTTTATTATTATTTATTTATTTTTTTTATTTTTTATTTTATTTTATTTATCTCATCTCATCTCTACTCCACTCCACTCCACTATTCCATTCCATTCCATTCCATTCCATTCCATTCCAATCTATTCTATTCTATTCTATTCTATTCTATTCTATTCTATTCTACTCTACTCTACTCTACTCTACTCCACTCCACTCCACTCCACTCCACTCCACTTCACACTCCACTCCTATTCCATTCTACCCTACCCTATTCTATTTTCACTTACTTGATCGTTGTTCGGCTTGTGGTCTCCTGTAGATCTCCTGGATCGAACAGCTGAGATTCTTTCAGACCCACTTCCCTGCAACCTCTCAAGAACAAGGCAATGTTGTCCTGAAAGAAAAACAAATAAGATACTTACTTAGTTTTCCCCAAAAGTCCTTTTTTTTTATTTTTTCCAAAAGGCAACTGGACTTTGGGTTTTTTTGTCCCTGAAGACGTTTCACTTCTCATCTAAGAACCTTCTTCAGTTCTGACTGAATGGTGGAGAATAGAAAGGGTTTGTACTCCTGGCAGTTGTTTAGCGCTCTTCCTGAGAGTCGTTGAGGCCACTTGGAGGTTTATCTGTGCCCTCGGGGTCAGCTGAATAGTGCAAATGGGTGTGGAGCCTTCTTGGAACTGCTGAGAGGATTGTGTTGTAAACAGGAGATAGGTGGTGTCATATTCTGACCCTGTCTGTTGAGAGAGGGCTGTTCAATCTTAATGTAGATGGCTTCTTTGACCTCCTCTTTCAGCAGTTCCAAGAAGGTTGCTGTGATGACCCAAAGGGGCGTGGCACAAAGGCAACACAGTCAGATAAGCAATAAGAGTCCCTTTATTATCTCCAACGTTGCCCCCAATGTCCAGGTTACCTTCGGGCTGGAGAAAAACTCTCCCAGGAACAGCCTTTGACTGCAGAGAATCAAGTCCAAAACATGGTCAACACAAACTGTAACTTAAAGTCCAAACAAACCAAACTGAAGTGATTAGTTTGGCAGAGCTGGAGCAAGAATTTCAGACTCGAAGGCATGGTAAAACGCACGCAGTTGGGAAGATGCCAGGAATGCAGATAAGCCACGACAACACAGGATAAAGTCACGTTTGCTCCCAGCAGCCTGCCGCACGCAGCCTGCCTTTTTTATCAATTGTCTTCTCAGCTGCAGCTAATGAAGGGAATCAGGGCCCTTTCCTCCCCTGTAAGCCACGCAACCTACGTTGCTCCCTTCTCCATTCCTCCCTGGGTGCCCTAGGACGAAGAGGGGGTGGGCCTGGGTCTTCCTCTGAATTCCCTCTCCCTTGTTCTACCTCTCCCTTGTTCTACCTCTCCCCTGCTCTGCCCAGCTGGACTTTGCCCTTCCCCAGCCTCCTCCACAGCCAACGGAGCCACACTCCCATTCTGTGTCAGGTGTCCACCTTCCTCCTCAGATTCAGACTCCGACAGGGGCATGACAATTGCTTCTCTCCAGCAGTGGGATCCTACCTGTTCCACTACCAGTTCGCTGATTGCGCCCGCAGCTTTCCACACACCAGCTGAGGCCTGCAGCGCCAGTGAGCTGATCAAGGTTTTTTTCTCTCTCCTCAGCTGATCATTGGATGGTTTTTTTTATACTACCGATTCAGCCAAACCGGTAGCAATTTTTGCTACTGGTTCGGCCGAACCGGTGTGAACCAATAGCATACCACAACTGCTTCTCTCCTTGATGAGTTTCCATCTGTTGCTTCTTGTCCTGCCTTCTGGTGCTGTTTGGAGAATAGCTTGACTCCCTCTTCACTGTGGGACAGCTCTTCAAATATTGGAAGACTGCTCTCATGTCATCCCTAGTCCTTCTCTTCATTACACTAGACACATTAAACTAGAAATTAGGAAAGATTTCACCAACCAAACAAGGGACTACAGACATACCACAGAAGAATCTTCTAAGTTGTGGTTTCAAGTATTTACATCTTGAAAGGGCCCTCTTAGCAAAACTTTGTGTTTAATTGTTTGGTACACTTAGATTAATCCCACGTTAATGGCAAGACAAAGATTTCTACCTGGTATGTTCCATCTGAAAGCAGGGTCTCTGTTTTTTAAGGGAAGCAGTTAGAGGTCCAAGAATTGAAGAAATAACTACTAGTACTACTACTGCTACTACTACAAGTGGGAAAAATATCATGAAATATTGCAACCTGGCCATTGAAACAACATGATTATGGATGAAACATATCGCAGTGATACCCATTGTCATTGGGGCCCTTGGTACCATGTCCAAAAATTTTACAAAACACATTAAGAAATCGCAGCTTCCTGCAATAACACCCAGCAGAACCGCAAAAAAATTGCGCTACTCGGAACATCATACAACTTAAGAAGGTACTTGGTTGATACCAGGGATGCTGGCAGCCACCCGTATCAACCATTAGCATCAGTCACTAGTATTTGTGATGCATTTTTGAATGTTCAGTTGACTGAATTTCATGTTTAATGGATATAGAAGAAGAAGAAGAAGAAGAAGAAGAAGAAGAAGAAGAAGAAGAAG